GTAAGCCACAACATCTGCAGGAAAAAATACTTGTTAGTGCATAGTCATCCCGGCACGAGGGTTCGCGCGCGAGGCGTCGGCTGTCGGAGGGCACGGCTTCTCGGCCCGCCGGAGCCCGACCCGCACGCCAGTGAGAAAAAACAGAAGAAAAAAGGTAAATATACCGCGGAAAAATACAATAATAACCCACGGAATTGGGGCGACACACTCGACTCCGGTGCAGGCGAGGTCTCCCGCGGGTCACGGGAGTCGATTTATCACACGTAAATTTACACTAATTGACAGGAGTCCGTGGCAAGCAGGTGAGCGGACACACCTGCCGAGACGCGACGAACACTTCCATTGACCGACACAAGATAGATTACTCTTATCGATTTCATTTTGATGGACATGATAGTATTGCTGAAAAGGTGGGTATGTCTGTGTGTGTTTTTTTTTCTTTTCTATTTTTCTTAAGGAGCGCCATATATCACTGTGACAGTTTGCTTAAATCTATAGCAGGAGACTTCGGTTATGTTTGTCGATCTGTTTATTTGGGGCAACTTGGGATCTTATGCATATAGGAAGATATAATTCGTGTTAGTGACAGAGCGCAGGAATATCGCTAAACTATAACACACACATGCGGTAATTTTCTCTGTGACATATGACCTCGCATACCACCGATTCAGAAATAACAATGGAGTTATTTTCTTTATTTTCTTCGTAACCCCCACGGTTGAATTTTGCGCAAGCCTTTATATTTGTTGTTTTATCAGATAAGACAAGAAAATGGGCGCGCATTGAAAACATGACGGACACAATAATTTGCAACTGCAGATACGTTATCGCTTGTTTTCGACATTGCTTTCGATATTTTCTTTCTGTCGTTGAAGATAGACATCCATCGGGCACTTAAGCTATACCCAAGATGGTCATAATTCTAGCGAAATGGGATAGGTAAATGGGCGAAGAGAGGAAGGATAAAAGATGATTAAATGCGAGCGTAGTTATACCGATTTTTTAAAAACCAGTAAATATGATTTTAGTGATCTTAAGATATTCATGGCGGTCAGAATTGTATCTCGAACACAATCGGCCAATGTATATAGCGCTAGAACGCTTATAATAATATTTCTAAAATTGAATAAAGCTGACTTTGAGTTCCAGAAGGATTGGCTTTTGCTGAGAGAATAATGTTATTATCAACAATCGGACTTGATTTATTAATTGAGCAATAATATATATGTATATATATATATATATATATATATATATATATATATATATATATATATATATATATATATATATACATATATATATATATATATATATATATATATATATATATATATATATATATATATATATATATATTTGATTAAAAAATAAAGATCACAACGATGTTATAGAAAACACCTCTGATAACACAGGGAACAATGGTAGCGGTGATAATGACCTGTAAAGAAATGAAGAATAGATAGGATTTTAAAAGAAAATTGTAATACAAATGAGGAAAAAAATAATGGTGGTGATAGCGATATAATCTCTTATCTTATTAACAGGGTTGATAATTATAATGCTTGTGATTGTTATTGCCATGATTACCATGACTTATATAATAGTAAGATAATGAGAAAGCGGTGCAAAAATGAGACAACAGGCATTGTTACTGCAATGATAATACTAATGATTAATCTGAGAGTGAAAACAGTTTAATGAAGAAAGATCACCGGTACAAGACAACCGCAATACGAGAGAAGCAAATTACGGAAGGTTTCCAAATCACAATTACATCTAAAAAAAAAGAAAAAAAAAGAACAAACAAAAACAGAAAAACAAAAACTAATCAACAAATAAAATCCAAATTCATCAGCATTTCCGAAACTCGAGCCCAAAAAGTGATCGGTGTCCTTTACTCTTGAACTTCGGTTTCTCGGAGAAGCACAAGCGGGTGACGTCGGTGATTGTCTTCTGCGATTGTCTGGGTTGCAAGCGATTGTCTCCTGTGGTTGTCTGAAGCGATTGTCTCCTGCGGTTGTCTTGGATGCTGGGGACTTTATCTCACGAAGACGCGGGAATGATGCGCTGTGGAAGGGAGATTCATTAGACCGATGGAAGTGATAGATAGAGAAACTGATAAGATATCTACGCACTCAAAAAAATTACGCATTTGGATACTCAAAGTCGCCGTTGATGATACACACCCGAAGTTTACATTTTTTTTTTATTGATATGATTGTAACTAATTCTAATATATAGAGTTATAGAAAGGAAGAATTGATTATTACGGAATTTGTTACCGCAATATCTCTGATAAATATACTACCATAAAAGTAGTCAGTTTCTGTTATAAAAGAAAATATAAAGAGCATTATTACAATTATTGAATGGTAAAAATAAGGTAATAATGATAATGATAATATCAGTACTGTTAATGATAATGGTAATAACAATAATGATAGTAATGATAATAATAATAATAATAATGATGATGTTAAGAATAGTGATAATGATG